GCAAAAAAAATTTTGAGAAATAACCAGGGGGACGATTATAACATTTTTACATTTGTCCTCGTATAATTTTCTTCTTCTTCTTTTCTTTTTCTTTTCTTTTCTCTTCTTTTTTTTTTTTTTTTTTTTTTTTTTTTTTTGAGACAGAGTCATGCTCTGTTTGCTCTGTTGCCCAGGCTGGAGTGCAGTGCCACGATCTTGGCTCACTGCAGCCTGCAACCTCCACCTCCTGGGTTCAAGCGACTCTCCTGCCTCAGCCTCCTGAGTAGCTGGGATTACAGGCGTGCACCACCACGCCTGGCTAATTTTTGTATTCTTAGTAGAGATGGGGTTTCACCGTGTTGATCAGACTTGTCTCAAACTCCTAACCTCGTGATCTGCCCGCCTCAGCCTCCCAAATTGTATAGGGGTGAGCCACTGCGCCCAGCCTCTTTCTTCTTCTTTTTTTTTAAAAAAAATATGATATATTGCTCCGCTGTAAAATTCTATCCAGTCTAATTTTAAGTACTTTAAAAATTTTAATGAATGGGGTAATTCACCATTCTTTAATTGCTCTTACCTAACCTTTGTTTAACCATTGTTACAGATAAGTTAGGAAAGTCATATCTCCTCTTTGATGTATATGTGTGTTAAGCAAGTAGCTATGATATTCTTTCCTATGCTTTAATGAAAATCTTGTACACAACTAAAACATTCCATGAGACTTATAAATATTATAATTTATTTGACTAACGTAGAAAGGGCTTTTCAGAAACAACCAACATTTCTCAGATCAGTATGAATTTTTAGTTTAATGATATTTTCTTAAGAAAATGTTTGTTTTAGCTGCCAAAAGTAACCACTTAAAAGACCCTCCATAATCTGATTTTTTGGAGAGGAAGATGATCATATATTTGCTTACATACAGCAAAAAAGGAATTAAAATAAATTATGATATATAATATATGTAAATAAAAATAATAAAAGGAACCAATTACAAGAGGTCATAGCAAAAGGAATGTATTAAAATATATTCAGAACTAGATAATCCCAAAGAAAATTATTATCTTGGTTCTTTTATTGTAGCTGGAGGAATGGACTTAGTCAAGTGAGATTAGAATCAGTGACTATACATTATGTACTATGTAAATAATAGGATATATATTTTGGAGGAGATGCTAGATGTTTTGAAATTTTCCTCCTTGCAAATATATATTTTAACAATCTGGTCATTTTCAACCTGAACTTTTTTTTCAATCCGAACATTACTCTTAACTAGTACTTGTACACTTTTACAATATTATGATTGAGGTTTGTAAAGATGATTCAGTATGTCTTCTGAATCATAGAAGAATTATTAAATTAGGATATGTTTTTATTATTTGCAAGCTGGTAATCTGGTCTGTTGTTGTTTCTTTTTTTTTTTTTTTTAAACACTTCTAGACTAATCGGAGCATCCTTATCAGGTATCTAACCTTGGGCTCATTCTTTGATCATCTCTGATAACACAGAGTTTACACTCAACAGACATATAGCAACCAACAGCTGATAAATTTAAGATTCATGCTATTATAGCAGTTATCTATCACAAAATAATTGTGACCTAACTAAAATTTTAACAAATGCCACATAACTATTTTTAATAAAAACATTTTTCCACAATGAAGCACAAACAAATATATCTTCATTTCTAATTTGATAGAATGTAGTCTGCTGGTGTCACCAAGACAGTAGATTTCAGGAATAGGGCAGATCTCATTTTAATCTGAGTTAGGACAGATGTTCAAGTTTGACTTGAGGGGTCTTATCCAGTTACATCTTAACTCACTCCTGACTTCCCCAGAGATGGGTATGATGGCTCTGCCTACAACAGAGGGTCTACAGAGGGACTTCTTTACACGATCCTCTGACAAACATGAGCTGAGCATGAGTATTAGGGTTCCCTAGAAGCAGAGCCAGAGGTGGGGCATGATTCTTGTGCAAGTGATTTAGAGCGAGTGCTCTCAGCAGCAGGGGAGTGAGAGAAGCAGGATATGGCTGAGGGAAAAAACCTAAACTCACTGGAAATGAGCTCTAGCCTAATCCCAGGAGAAGCTCTGGAGTAGGATTTGCACCATAGAATTGGTCAACCTCGAGGCAAGGTACCTTGTACCCTCATCATCAGTCAGTCATTGCTTTTGGCTGCACGGTTGTGTGTGTAGGGGTTGGGGGTATTAAACAGCAATCTCCCAGGCAATGAACCTCTTCTGCAGAGTGCAATTCTGCAGAGAAGGAAGCAGCTGTATTTATCAGCTAATACCCATAGCAGCTGGGGGATGGATCTATCTGCCTTGTAAAGGGGGCCTGAACTGGTCACCAGCTGTGTAAAACACTATGGCATAGAAACACTGTCATATATATGTTAGGATCCCAGAACAGTTCTTAAGAAACAAATAACTGAAACATACTGAAGAAAGCACTGCAGAACCTGAACACTTAAATTATGTACGTAGAACACTGCTTCTAAAAATATGCTACGAGTACAACTAGGGATGCTAGGAACACATCTCCCTTTCTAACATTGGGTTTACGAACATCCTCTCCCCTCAACTACCCAGTTTGCTTAGCAGTAGCAGCTGGTGGTGAATTCTGCCATTAGGGCAAGATGCCCAGCAAGGAAAGAACTGGGTTGGTTAGGAGAATTTAAGGCAGTGGAAGTCTCTGGAATGGGGATATGGTGTGTAGGGTGAAAGGAGCTGAAAGGGAAACGTTTCTTTGTGTATGAGACCCACTCACCAATTTCCACCATTTGTTTATTTCTACCGACCCTAGAGACACTCTTGTCAGCTTGTCTTTCCTCTGCCAACACTTTTGCTTTGCATCAGGATTTTTCTCTTTCCTGGCCTCTGGAACTCGACTTCTCACAGCTCTACCCCTTACACTGACATTTTCTAATAGTTTGACAGCTAGAAATAATGGAGAAAATTAAGTAAAAAGTTTTTCCATCCTACCTCTGTTATTTTTGTTTTTAAATTTGGACAAGTCCAGACATGTGTGCTACCGTTGGGTGTCGGGGGAGAAAATAAAAGACAAGATGATTTGCCTGCAATTCAAACCCAAGAGGGTTTCCTAGGTGTGGAGTGATGGGTTCTGAAATGCCAAATGAGAAACAAGGTCAGGGAGCTACAAAAGAGGTACAGAGGTAGGGACAAAGCAGTGCTTCATTTACCTTCAGCAAACCTGGCGATTTACCTTCTCCTTCAGTCCCTTCACCATCACCAGTCCTTCCCCTGAAAAAACCACTGTGGACCACCTGATGATAAGTTGGGAAGTGAGAGTGGGTGGGTGTGGAGCAAGAATAACAACATCCTGAGTACCATACACTCTGAAGGAACAGAGGAAATTCCTGTTCTGTTTTAACCTGGGACAGAGGGGATGGCCCTGTTCTCTCCAGGCTGAGGCAGTAATTCCTGACTCTAGGGACTGCTGATATGGAAATTACTACTACCACTCTGGGTGGAGTCAGATGAGTATGTTAAAAAGTCTCATCGTACTGTCCTAAAATAAGCAAGATCTTCGTTAATATCCAAGCTTTACAGAATGGTGGGATGAAGTGAAGTCCCTATACCTTTATCCCCAGTAGTCTTCAGTACTATAGGCAGTAACAGGGCCTGTGTGGCACAGTGGAGGGCAATGAGTGAGCTGTTTATGCCAATTCCTAGTATAGTCACCTCTTTGGCTGCCAGCCTTCAAGGGAGAGATCTTTGCCTTACTGGGGTCTGCCCTTCTGCTTCTGAAGTGAACCCAGTCTTCCTGTATGGGCATTGAGCAACTCTTGGGGTGGGGAATCGGGGGAGAGAGAGCACTTGAAAAGAATTTATGGTGGCTTTTTTTCTCAGTGATATTTGAGAGATACTAGGACACATCTGAATGTATCTGAGTTTAAGTCTTGGCTCTATTTGTTATTAGCTCTGTGACTGTGGGCAAGTTATTGATTTATATGCAATGTGACTAATCTGAGTTTTCTTAGCTGCTTTAAGCAGACGAAGAGGACAGGAAAGGGTAATACACTTAACAACCAGCAAAGGGTTATTGCGAGGATGAAGCAATAGCAACAAAATGAGTTTAAAGCACTTATCATAGTGCATGGTCCATGGAACTGCAAATGTTGGGTTTTGCTTATTTTAGGACAGTACAAAGAGACTCTTTAATATACTCTTCTGACTCCAACCAGAGTGGTAGTAATTTCCGTATCAGCAGTCCCTAGAATCAGGTATTACTGCCTCAGCCTGGAGAGAACAGGGCAATCCCCTCTATCCCAGGTGAAATGATTATTATCATTTATTATTTATTAGCCAGAGGTCTTAGGGGAGATCAAATTCAATCATAATTTATATTTCAATATACTGCTTAACTCCATGACAGGCAATGTTCTAGGTGTTCCTCACATGTGAAATTTTAGTATTTTAACTGCAACTCTGGAGGTAAGTGCTATTATTATACTCATTCTACAGATGAGAAAGCCAAGGAATAGCATGCTTGAATCACTTGCCCAAGATGCCATGGTTAGATAGTGGTACAGTGGGGATTCGAACGCGGGAACTCAGGTTTCAAAGTCTGTGCTCTTTACATACTCAGTTAAAGAGTCAGACAAGAACCAAAAGGAGATGGAGAATGGAGGGTAGAAAGGGCACAGGTTCAAGGTGAAAGGTCAGAAACTGCAAATTCCGAGTTTGGGTTGGTCTAGCAGCTTGAAGGCGTCATCGTGAACTGTTCACCTAAGTAAGTTAAGCTCCTGTTTAATGATTGATAAGCTTGCAAGCCAACTTAAAAACAAACTGGGGAAATGTTCCAACAGATGACTAAGTCTTTTAGGTCTTTTTACCTGTGTCTTTTTGGTCTCTTTACCAGATTAGTCGCCTGGCTCTCCCAAACAGACCAGCCAACGGACGTGGCCGCAAAGGGGTTAATGTCGAGGCGGGGCGGGGCGGGGCGGGGTGGGGGCGAAGAGGGGGGCAGCTGAGCGCAGGGCGGATGGCGAGAGCGGAAGCAAAGAGGATTGTGGGAGCTCCGTTGTGCGTCGCTTAAGGGAGGGCGGTGGATGGGCAAGGGTCGGGTCATTGCAACTGCCGCTGCTCTCCGAGGCCACAGGACAGGGGCCGTGGGTCGCCGTCATGAAAGCGAGCGAGGCGGAGGTTTGTAGCACTTCTTATGGGCTGAAGGCGTAGACACATCCTGCTTCCAGCCGAGTAGGCAAACGGGAATGGAAGTGATAGGGGATCGGAAGTTGCGAGGGGATGAGGAGTCGGAGGAACTGACAAGAGGACGGACCCGGCGGCGAGAATTGATTGCGTAGCTGTAGGATTAAGGGGCGTGTCAACTGTGTTGTGCGTGTTGACACTGAGATGTGTGAATCTTATTATTTTTGGCTGGGGACAGGCGGGGTCTATGGGGGAGGGGGCGGACAGATGAATGGAGGATAAAATCAGGGCGAAAACGTGTTGTCTACAGGGCACCAAGACATCTGAATCCCATCTCGGCAGGATGATTTTATGGAAAGATCTGGGTCGCTGGTTTCAGATTCCGCTATTGATGCGTTGATTGATTCCCTTACCAAAATACCAAGTACCTGCTCTGTGCTGGGTACTGCACTAGAGGCTCCGGATGAGGAAAGGAATTAGGCTTTTCCCTCGACCTTTACAGCCTGCCGGTTGCTATCTGCATTTGGAGACAGGCTATTACAATACAAGGAGACAGAGATCCTGTGTTGTGAAAACCTACTGGGTGCCACCGAACTCACCTGGGAGTTTAGATCTGGGACGGCTCTTTGATGTGGTAAATTAACATATATTTTGAAGACAAAATAAGCAGGGCAAAAACGAAGTGCGATTTTCCTCCAGGCACCTTCCCTCCCTGTTGAGGTGAACTGGAGAACTGAGTAGCATTTAAGGCCCAAAACTAGTTTCTTTTTCTTTTCTTTTCTTTTCTTTTTTCTTTCTTTCTTTTCTTTTCTTTTTTTTTTTTGATAAGGAGTCTCTCTACTTCTGTCGCCCAGACTGGAATGCAGTGGCGTGATCTCGGCTCACTGCAACCTCCGCCTACCGGGTTCAAGCGATTCTTCTGCCTCAGCCTCCCGGGTTGCTGGGGTTAGAGGCGCCCGCCACCACTCCTGGCTAATTTTTATATTTATAGTAGAGCCGAGGTTTCACCATGTTGGCCAGGTTGGCCTCGAACTTCAGACCTCAAGTGATCTGCCTGCCTCGGCCTCCCAAAGTACTGGGATTACAGGCATGAGCCACCGCACCTGGCGCCCACAGCTAGTTTATTTCTGGTAAGAGCATTTGCCCATCACATTGGCACTTCCAGGCCCCTCTGGAAGAATCAGTCTTACGTGAGTGCAAAGCCTGCAAGCTCTGGGTAGGACTACAGTGGAGGTGCCAGTTATTTGGTTTTCTAGCAAACTCGATTCACAGCAGGGAATTGTGCACCCAGCAGAAATCCTAAGCAATATTTTAAAGCTTCTGAACAAGAAAAGCAGCCTCTTTGTTTACCAGATAAACAACAGTATAGCAGTCTAAGTCAGTGGCTCCCAAACTTTCCTGTGAATCAGAATCAGATGGAGGGTTTCTTAAAATAAAGATTGCTAGGTCCCATCCACAGAGTTGCCCCTACAGTTGGTCAGGAGTGGACCCCTGAATTTACATTTCTAACTAGTTCCCAGGAGATGCTGATACTCCTGGACATGGGGCCATACTTGGAGAACTATAGGTCCAAACGGAACTGACAATAAATCTGAAAGAATAGCTCCTGGAATCCCTTAGAACTCGGGAGGCATAGGTTGCAGTGAGCCAAGATTGCGCCACTGCTTGCCAGCCTGGGCGACAGAGCGAGACTCTGTCTCAAAAAAAGAAAAAAAGAAAAATCTCCCATAGGGAAGGCTAGGCACACTCCTAAAGGTCAGGCATGTCTGAATTCAGACACAGTAGATATGAAATAAAATTGACTTACTTGACACTGCTTAGAAAATCTTTTTATTTTTATATTTGTATAATTTTATTGTATATTAACAAATTGTATACATTTATGGAGTTCAAAGTGGTATTATATGTATACAGTGTAGAATGATTAAATCAAGCTAAATAACATATTCATCACCTAAAATATTTATCTTTTTTTACACAAAAATGACTCAACATGGAACTTAATAGTTTTTTTGTGGTGTTAACATTTGAAATGTACTCTTAGCTATTTTGCAATATGAAATTTTGAATTATCACCACTATTCTATTACCTGCTTCTGTGGGTTCCTTTGTTTTAGATTCCACATACAAGTAAGAACATGAAGTATTTGTCTTTCTGTGCCTGGCTTATTTCACTTAGCATAATATCCTCCAGGCTCATCAATGGATAGATTTTCCTGATTTTTGAAGATTGAATAGTATTCCATTGTGTATGTATAGCACATTTGCTTTATCTGTTCATCCACTGATGGATACTTAGGATGATCCCATAACTTGGCTATTGTGATAAATCCTGCAATGAACATGAGAGTGCAGATATCTCTTCGACATACTGATTTCAAATTCTTTGGATATATACTCAGAAGTGGGATTGCTGGATCATATGGTAATTCTATTTTTAATTTTTTGAGGAACCTCCATGCAGTTTTCCATAATGGCTGTACTAATTTATATTCCCACCAATAATGTATAGGGTTGCCTTTTCTCCATATCCTGGCCTGTTATCTTTCATCTTTTTGATAATAACCATTCCGAAAGGTGTGAGGTAATATATCACTGTGATTTTAATTTGCATGTCACTAGCAATTAGTGATGTTGAGCATTTTTTCTTATGCCTGTTGGCCATTTGTGCGCCTTCATTTGAGAAACGTCTATTCAGGTCCTTTGTCCATTTGTTAATCAGGTTATTTGTCTTTTTGCTATTGAGTTGTTTGAGTTCCTTATATATTTTGGACATTAACCTCTTATTAGAAGTAGGGCTTGGAAATATTTTCTCCCAATCTGTAGGCTGTCTCTCCACTCTGTTAATTGTTTTCTTTGCTGTGCAGAAGCATTTTAGTTTGATATAATCTCATTTGTCTAGTTTTGCTTTTGTTATTTGAGCTTTTGGGGTCAAACCCCCAAATTCATCGCCCACCAGTGTCCTGTAGTTTCTTCCCTAGGTTTCCTTCTTGTAGTGTTATGGTCTCAGGTCATATATTTAGGTCTTTAATAAAATGGATGTGTTTTTGTTGCTTGTATGTTTTGAATGGTCGAGCAAAGATCATCTTCCTGAACTAAACAAGCGAATTGTTTTTCTCCATTGTAGTTGTCACAGTGACTTATACCATAAATTGGTTAAAAACACAAAGTAGCTGTTTTCTATTCAAATCCTTTGCTGCTTTTTATATATTCAAGTAGTTGTTTACAGTGGAATTCACACCTCCACTATGTCAACAACGAAAAATGAAGTGTTCCTAATTTCTGGTAATAAATTATGTTTGAGGTTAAAAATTAAAAAGACAATGTGACAAGCTAATTGACAGAGAAAGATTAGTGTAAGAAGTCAGAATTGGTAGGTAGTTCCCCCCCACCAATAAAACCCTCCCGTTAGAAGAAATACAGTCATTCATTGCATAGTGGCATTTCGGTCAACGATGGACCACATATATGATGGTAGTCCCATAAGATTATAATGGAGCGTATATAGAAACCTGATATACAGCACTTGATACTGGCCTTGCAGATCAGGTGGGGTAATGATTGATGTTCATTATTGGTACTGGGACATTTTGTTTTTCATATGAGAAAAAAATATGTATATATACACACACACACTCTAGGTTTGTGTAAGTACTGTCTATGATGTTCTCACAATGAAATTGCCTAACGATGCATTTCTCAGAATATATTCCTGTTGCTTTGCAAGGTGTGACTGTAATCATTTTATTTACTCTAGAACACAGAATCAGAAATCTCATTGTGTTACAGATTAATTTGAAGCCTTCCTTTAGGGGTTGGCCCTAAACAGACTCCTATAGGGTGGCAGTCCACAGTTATACCTCCTGTTCAAACCCCCTTCCATGACCCTAAAAAAGGCTAGGACACATTTTCAGAAATTTCACTGATCATTCTAGACTCTAGTCAATGCTTCATCCCAAATCTTGCTAGGCCAGTTACAAAACAAAATAAGTGAAACCCCAAACCAAACACTGAGACACACATAAAAAGACAACCAAAAAGTCCATACAAACTGGCCTGAGTCTATTGTGAGTGTTTGTAGGGGCCAGCAAGTTGCTAGGATGGCCAGTGCCTTGGATGTTTCAGAAATCTGTTCTCAGGCTGGGCGTGGTGGCTCACGCCTGTAATCCCAGCACTTTGAGAGGCCAAGGCAGGCAGATCACAAGGTCAGGAGATTGAGACCATCCTGGCCAATATGGCAAAACCCCGTCTCTACTGAAAATACAAAAATTAGCTGGGTGTGGTGGTGCGTGCCTGTAGTCCCAGCTACTTGGGAGGCTGAGGCAGGAGAATCGCTTGAACCTGGGAGGTGGAGGTGGTTGCAGTGAGCCGAGATCGTACCATTGCACTCCAGCCTGGGCAACAAGAGTGGATCGCCATCTCAAAAAAAGAAAAAAAAAAAAAAGAAAAGAAATCTGTTCTCTATCATATCCATATTCCAAAGGAGTCAGCAAGACAACCACATATGACTCCTGAAAATTAATCAGATTTTCCACGTGATTGGTGAGCCTCTCACCTCATGCTTGTGCACTTACCCTGCCCCTCCACACTAGTCATCATCTCTGTCTAAATCCACACCTAGTCTTACAGGCAGTGTTATTTTCCGTGAAATGTGAGGAGATAAAACAAACCTATGTAAGTTTGAACTCTGCAGCTCCATTTCCTAAATGATGCCCGAGTAGTAATGATTTAATTTTGTTGCATGAACATGCAGTATCTCAGGGACCCTGAGAGTTTACAGATGGTTGTGAAGGAGAATTTTGGGTCAAGAGTGTCAAAGCAGCAAACATGATTACTCCAGAATTCAAGTTCAGATGGGATTGTTTCCAGTCCATTTCTGTGTGCTACAGCTGATTCCTTAAACTAAACTTTAAATCAGTATGTGTCTCTGACCTGAAGTTGGGTGGGGATTCTGGTCTGGCACTGAACTACTAGGTTATGGAGGTCAGTGTTTT